CGCGGAGCCCTGCGACGGGGGCAAGTCTGCTGTCGTGGGCAATGAGAGACTGCTCCTGCAGGTACCGCGGCCGGATCCTGCCCCACGCTGGGCACAAGGGGTCCCAACGATGCCGGTGGTGGAGCCCCCAGCCAGCCCTGGGGGTGAAACCTCCGCAGCCCTCCTGCGGGTAGGAGGGTCTCATCCAGTCTGGAGAGGGGGTCCCACCCCAGCAGCAGCCCTGGGGCATCGCTCAGCTCAGGGAGGAGAGTGTTGGAACATCTCCTCACACCCAAAGCCCTTGGGGGTCCTGGGCCAGATCCTGTTCCAGGAAGAGGGAGGGGCAGAGCTGCAGTAGGGCAGCGGCAGAGGGATGGCACAGAGGTGGCAGAGGCAAGGCAGCCCTGCCAGGGGCACTGAGGTGAGAAACAAGCTCCCCCCTCCCCTGTGGCACAGATCCCCTCTGCCGTGCGGTGCATCCATCCGGAGCGTGTGCTGGCTTTCCAGCAGCAGACCCAGTTCCTGTGGGATGCGTACTTCTCCTCTGTCGACAAGATCGTGCACACCACACTGGAGGTGAGCCCCCGCCTTCGAGCTTTCCCCCCCGCAGCCCCCGGGGTCACAGCCGGGGTGCTGGGAGCATCTCTCCGGCCTCTGGCAGATCATCAAGGACCGGCTGCTTCAGCACCGCTCCCGTTCCCGCTTCCTCTGGAACACGCTGCCCGGGGGGCTCCTGGCCTTGCCCGACTTCTCCACGTACCTTGGGGACTTTCCCTTCTACTACGTGCAGCGCGGTAGGACCCTGACTGCCCGGCTGAGCACGGCAAACCCAGCGCATGCCACAACACTTAGCCCTCTCCCTGCCTTTTTCAGGCTCCAGCCCCTCCAAGAAGTTCACAGCTTTGATCCGGGCCACCTCGACGGCAGGGTCCCCCTCCCAGCCCATCCTCAGGCTCATCCAAGCTGTCTCCGGATCCCAGTACTGCGCCCAGGTAGGGGAGCTGAGCCCCACACTGCTCCTGAGGATGCAGTGGGAGGGATGGGGCAGGGGCCCACAGGCTGGGAAGGGT